AAAGAGCTATCTTTAGTTAGTAGCTAGTTAAATAGATCTTTTATCAACCCGTTGTCATGCTCAAAGAGATTTCCGTGTTATCTTACTTGCTTACGCCTGTTACTCCCAATGGAGCATAGACCGCCGACCAGCATTCTCCAACCCACCCTGTCCCTGACCTTCCTTTATAGTTCTGTCCATTTTTTTGCTCATTCTTTTCATGTCTGTCTCTATTTCTCGGCCTAATGTCTTCTTTGGTCTTCCTCTTGCCCCTTGACCTTCATGATTCCATGTGAGGGCTTGTCTTGTGACGCAATTGAGTGATTTCCTCAAAGTGTGCTCGATCCACTTCCAGAGCTTCTTCCTGGTTTCTTACTCCACTGGAATCTGGTCTGTTGTCTCCTACAGTAACTTGTTTCTGATAGTGTCTGGCCAACAGATCCAAAGTATCTTGCGTAGACAACTGAACTCAGCCTGTAGCTCCTCCGGAGGCTACTGCCGGTCCAAAGCCCGGGGAAAGAAGGAGGGTTGGGCATGGGGTTAGCGACCTCATCCCGTAGAAAACCAACTCACTAAAAAACGCTAACCGCAAAAAAAAACCATTCCATGTTATCAATCAGCCTAAATTCCAATAAGGCTGGATTTTCATACACATCATGCTATATACCCTAGCTATGAATGGAAGCTTTGCACAAAATTAAGGATTGGGGGTATTAAAGTTTGTTTCACTCATATATTTATATACTTGATTTTCTGGCGCGTAGTAGCCCACCCTAGTTGATTCGCTTGTACCGTATCCGGGTAACCAGTTCATTGGCCTATTGTAGTTGTCCGAAGAGATAGCGTAAGTGGGCAGATTATAAGTGACATTGAGGTTTAGCAATGAGATTCAACTGTTGGCCTTACCTGTGGTGGTGTGCCCCTTCAAACAGATGTTATTCTGCCCAACAGGTTACAGGTACCAGCTATTAATATTAATCATAATGGATATATGTGCAGATTTCAGTAATTTTGTCACTTAAATTAATGAGTCCACTGTTGAAAACCTGGTGACGCCGGACGACCGTTTTGTCTGAGTATGGAACTTCTTAGCAGTGCGCATTCACCGTCCCCCACGTGGGACTCCAACCCAGTGTGGCATGGTCTACTTATATCCATATAAGTAGTATATGGTGATGGTCAGACATAGAATGTATTTTGGCAGAAGATCGATAAGGAAAGAACAGGAATGAAGCGCAATCGGTACGAAAATGCATGAACAATAAAATCAGCGAAAACGGATTGATATTTGCAGAAGGAACAGTAAAGATTGAGACAATTGATTGTTATTTTGTAAATTAACTGTTTACTGTATGATTGTCAGAATTTTAGTGAGATAGTCTGCAATTTGTGCATAAACACAGTCAATCGTTCCCGCCCGTGTTCTTGTTCACTACACCAGGATCTTAGGTCTCGCGCGAGGACGCTTAATCTCTAGACCAATGAGTTGGAATCCAGTGGTGTTAATGTTTGACTTCAATCAATTCATGATCTTGATCAACCATTCATTCATTTTCTGGGGTAGCTAACTGTCTCCATCTGACACGGATTGAACTCCACCGCCCACAACGTCTAACTAGATCACCAGGAAATACATGTTGAAACTGACCACTGGTACAGAATGTGGGATAGTGGATGCGCACTGCTGAAGGGTCCCATACTTGGACGAAACAACCGTCCAGTACTTTCAGGTATTCAGTGGTGGTCTAGTTTATACCGACTCATGAATTTGACTATTAACACTGATCATAAACTGTATTCCGGATGATCATCCGTTTGCTTTGGTCTCAGAAATTGAAGAGGTATGTTTTTTAACCTTCAGTAAATCGACCAAGACATCACCGATTTGCAACAATTAGCTGTTGATACATTCACCAACTACATCATAAGATCACTACAAAAACAACACCGATTAAAGGCAACGTTAGTGGTACCTTCATACAGACTTGAAATGATCTTTTATGCATCTTTTAAGGATTTCCACCCTTCTCTTCCAATACTTCCATGGGAATTTTGTATTCTCTCCATTTATTGGCTTGAAAACCCTCCTCTTGCGTCCGTGTCACTCTCCAATCGGTCCTATGAACGAGTGGTTGTACATAACTTTTACAATGTTATGTATCTGTGTATATTAACCTACCTTTTTCTCATAACACAGTAGTGTCACATACCCCTGGAAATTGTATTCGGGAGGGTACGTTAATTAAAACCCGAAAAATTGTGAGCTCAGTGCGCATTGTTTCATGATTATGTGAACTGTAATTCCTAGTTATTTGAGTAAATAATCCCTACACCCGGTGGTCTGGAAGTTAAGTGTTCGCCTGAGACCGAAGGTCCGGAGTAAGATCTCCGCGTGCAGGAGCGTGGATGCGCACTTCTGAGGAGTCATATACTAAGGCGAAACAGCCATCCAGTGCCTTAGGGTTCTCAATAGCCGTCTGATACTGATCGGTTGATGATCTCAACTAAAAGTCAACAATCTCCAAAACCCTATACTGATAGTCCTTAAACTGTCGAAAAAATATTCCATGCCGACTACATCATGTAATCACCTTTAAATGTTATCCGACTTTGCTAGACTAAATTTTTATACAAAGCATGGCGTCGGAATTAAAAGCTTTGGAGATATGTTGAGCATAACTGTATAACTGTATAACTGTATAACACTTATCACAACTAGGTCATCGTAACTATACAGTGGATGTATGGGACTAGAACTGCTTTAAGAAAGAAGATAGCAACAATTTTTTTACGAAAGAGATCCTGAGAAATCCAAAGTCGATAAATTGATGTGACCCATTGGAATTCCTCCGAAAGAGTTTTTAAGACAACCTTATAAAAAACAGCTCATGACCCTTGCAGCGAATTTCCCGGTCGAACAGTTCCAAGGGCAATTGATAGGCTTGCCTGTGTTTTGATGCAACCAAATGGACTGATTTCTTACAGCTTGTCCCCCTTGAAATTCGCCGAACAATCAACGGAGCTAATTTACGGCACACTCCCGATTCCAACCAGATAGCTGGTCAGCACCAATGAATCTGCAAGTTATTTATTGCAAACTAATCATCAGCTTGAAAAAGTACTTCCAGGCGAATACATAACAGATCAAGTTGGATGGCTATGAGTTTGATGAAAGCCTCTTAGTAACGTTAAAATATTATGGCTCAAGTATTTACTGACTTCAATACTTTGTGTTGGCATTATATTTCCTATTATCCCATACATAACGTTTAAAGGTTCGTAGTTTTGAGAATTACAATCTCACGCTTCAATTGTTCTTTTTCGCGATATGAATAAAAGCCTACTGCAACCAATCTACGGGATTTTGGTCCATATAAAATGGGAACCAATTACCAACACCAAATTAATATTCGCCACGTACATCTATACAAATGTTTAACGACATACGAATTTTCTTTGTTCATGCTTACTTATTGATGAAGCCACTACAGCAACGGTATGAAGATTTTGTGGAGTAATCAGCCAGAAAGCTAAACGTTTAATCATCGATAAAGATGGGAAGGGGATAGTTTTGATAAACCGACTAAAGCTTTCATCCTTGGATAACCAACGTGTAAAGGAAAATGTCTCATTGTACAAGCAAACTCAACTACATTTTACATAGAATTAAGAGAATTGCAGCATATACACCAACAAATACACATTTTCTATATGTCTTAGTGGAGCAGTAAACAGTAAACTCTACTTTTACCTCGTAAGTTAATAAAAATGGAATACGAAGTAAAACTACACAGTCCATTCAGGCTATTAGAATTAATTGCTTTTGTTAAGCGCAGTGATTATAAGATTATTCGCATTCAACTTGCTTGGTGAACTCACCATTTATTTATATCGTAGTCGCGCGTGTATATTTTAGATCGTTTGTCAATAATCAGTGTCAGAGCAGCTTTTTATTTGTATATACCAGCGGAGTTGATTGGTAACGTATCATTATAAAGTACCATTCACATTTAAACGTTTTCCGGTTATACAATTATATACACATGTTATAACTGTACACTAACATATCACACAACACCAATGCACATCTTATATTTCCAAATGTGTGCATGTGTATTTGCACAATTCTTTTCTTAAATCAGCACCACGTATTTTTGTCTAGGCTTTAGGGTATGTATTCTTCTTCTCACTCACTTTTATATCTCTGGGCACTCTGGCGGGAGCTCTGCGGGGATGGGCAACATATACTTATTTTGTAAGCAATTTTGATCGTCATTCACATCTCTCACAAATTTACCCAGTTCGCATTGTCATTTCTGTTCACTACAAAATTATTGTCAAAATATTACATTGACTTTTCCGTTACCAGTTTGCTCTCTGTGTACATGACACACTGATTATTAACTATGTCAAGACCAAGATTTTTTCGAATTTTTGATGGTTCTAATACAAAACGCATACGGGGTCAAAAGTGATAGTGCTTCAAAAGGACCACTCCTACTATGTAGTAGAAGTTCCCTTTGATACAAAACAACGCACTGAAGGGCAAAATAATGTTAGCAAATATAACTATTCGGTACCTATAGATCAACAAAGATATCCCCTACAGAATAAGATCAAAATTCTGTCCGCGAGGACTCAAATAACTAATAAGACAGTCCCAAGAAACATTTATGAAAAAGAGATGAACGACCGATCAACTATGCGGTTTTAAATTCAGTCACATAAGATCATCAGGAGTAGTACGCAAAGTGTTCAGTTTACTATAAACTTATGTTGCGAGTTTTAAGGTTCTTTATAGCAGGTTTGTGTGATTATGCATGAAAAAACTCTGTACACACATCTCTTGATTCAGTTCGTCGCTCTAATTTAAATTGTAAGTTTATTCATCTTGATCCCTCCAGGTATATATCCCAGTGATCGTTTGACTACAGATGAGACGGTCATTATTCATTTTTTTGTGGTTTTTGTATCTCATGCGCTTCAAATAAGGGATTCCCGCCGTTTTTCGAGACGTTCAAGGTTGTAAAGGGAAAACGCGGTCAGGTTTGTAAGTCTATCACTTTTTTGTCGACATTTATAACATGCTAAGATAAAAACAAGCTTTTATTTTAAGATTATGATCGATTGTTTGGTTGTATCGACACTTTTACTTGAGTAGTTGCAGCCATATGGAAGTTAATTAAATCGAGAGTTCATATGCATCGGGGGATTTACTCCGTTGGCAACTCCAGCCAAATGATCGAGTTGCTCGTTACAACTGACTCCCATTCTAAATCGTAACGGATTCTAAATCTCCTACCAGTACCTATGGTTGTAATTATCAGATTGCCTTGGTCATACTTCAACACTGTTTGTTGTCTATCACTTTCATTACAGGATATAAGCGTATTTTGTGCGTTTATTGAATCGTTGGCTCATTTTTCTTGTTCTTTCCTCCTTCGGCTTTCGTCGCGCACACTCTTCTGGCACTTGAGTGCATTCAGACTGAACTCATGCCACCACAGCTAACTTTTATCTTACGCCCTGTAGTTATTTTTTTGTACTTCTCTACTTGTATTTATTTTTCGAGTCAGTGTACATCAACCTAGTGCAATAGTTCTTTTCATCATCTCCATTATTATCTATCAAGAATGGATAATTTACAGTTGTCGAAACAGTTAATCATTCAAAGTCAAACAAAGCTCTTGTCTTGTTCAGTGCGCCGAAAGCACCTTTGGTAGACTGTAGATTGAATCATTTCAACCAAGGTTATATTTTAAGACCCTTGCATTAAACTTGCATATATGTTATGTTCTGCGTACAAGGTGACCTAGGATAGTTATCATGATTTATCACACACATTTATTGTCTACAACATTTTAAATGTATTAACCAATGTTGCTATTTTAGTTTAAGTGGGTCAAGAAATAAATTTAGACTTGATCTTCCTTTTCTCGCACTCGGATAAAGAAAACTCAGGACACGGAGGGTGAATTTATAAGCCAGCAACGGACAAAACACCTGTGGCATACAAGTTTTCTCATCAAGTAACTAACTCCTAGAACCTACTACTGGAAGAAGTGTTGTCCATACCTTCAACTAAGTCATTTGAAAGAATAGACATTCACATAACCCTTCTAAAACGGGACTAGTACGTACTGCCGGCATTCTTTCAAGATAAGCAATCCAAGTCTTGGTATTCTATTTATGGACATGTATTTACATAAAGTGTTCATAAGTTCTTCAAAGTAGCTGTGATTCATATCACACAAAGCCACATCCATCTCGTGACCGAAATCACTACATTAGACCCTGTCGAAAGTCTGATATATTGGAAAATACATTGGTTATATGGGTATCTGTTGGTGTACATCAAGCTGTCCAAAAGATTGAATTTGAAATCATTTACGCCTGTTATCTTCAGGCTTATGTATTGACCTTTAAACATGGTGTGCATTCGTTCTTTCAGACGTACAAACTCCGCCTAACACTACAACATATGTTTGCGGTCCTAGTGTAGATATGTTCACGTTGAACACACCCTGAAACTATTTGTCATATAACAGGTGTCAAAAGATATGCCCTCCAGTTCTCAACTGTTTTGTAGCATTTCTAAAATTCGGACATATGTCATTGGATATATCTTAGGTCCCCTTTTCACTCGACTATCGTCGTGTACCATACATTTGAGGTCCTTCAGTGTTCTTTGACTAAATTTACTTAACCACAGTTTATTTTCATAGTCTCCGGATATGGTTTATAACTATGAATGGGCTGCTTGGTGCATAATTTCACGTACACAGTTATCCATGTAAATCAACCAAAATGATTGACGTCGATCAAGTAGTCAACCGCAAATACGCAACATAAAACCTGGCACATATATACATTAGTTTAAGTTTCTATATCCTGTTAGCACAGCAACATGAAATTGTTAGAGCAAATCCCAGTGTAGAAAGTGTAGCAACAGTATTAGTGGTAATAGAAAAGGCTAGGTGTTGAAAATACAATTTGAGACTTCATACTGATCGGAAAAGTTGGTATTAAAATTTTTGGAGTTAGTCAGGCTTTCCGAAAAATACGGGACTATCATGCACTATCACTCCAGAAGGTTGAGACGATAGGTGGAACACCCTGAAGAACAGTTCAACTGCTCTCTAGTCGTCTACTCTTACTAAGGACCATGGATGGAATATCGACATTAGTCTCTCAACTCTTAATGAATTAGAGAAAGCCATAGCTAATCTAAAGTGAAGTTTTATTCATTTTAATTATAGTCAAAATATGTTACAAAAATAAGTTTAATATGGTCAAGGGTACATTCACATAGGTTGAAGACTTTAAACTACTTTTAAGACGAAACTAGCTACCTGTCTCGATAAATCACTCTGATTTCAACTATTTGATATTATTTTGAAAATAATCAAGCACTTGTTTGTGTCGGCTGTTCAATGTTAGAATGCTCGCCTGTCATGCAGGCGGTCCGGGTTCGACTCGTGACCGATCCACATCGTTTGCCCCCAAATGCCTTGGTTTATTTATTTTATTTATTTAAACACATAAATGTTGGTACAAAAAAGCACCAGATAAATATGCGCCTCACAAATCTCATTTGGTTTGTGTGAGGGCTGGGATACTGCCCAGGGGCCCAAACTGAAGCAGGTGGTTTTCTTAGGGAGCCACATCCAGAGCCTTTGACCTGAAGGTCTAGTGCACAAGACAGTGGAGCATCGTGAGGAGATGCACTCCCATGGTAGCCAGTGATCAATGATTGATTCGTACGCCACTTGTTCCTTCAGGATACTGGATCCAGCCCATGTACGCCATTTGTTTGGAATGAGGGTTTTCCAACTCCCCTAGGTGGACTCGCCGTGTCCACCAACCAGGTTAAAGCGCCGGACATTCGCTTTTCGTCCTCTCAATTTCGTAAACAACAGTAGTGCCACGAGAAGGTAGTGAGTAGAACTTCCCTGACAGAGGCTATATATTCGCTGGCCATGTAAGAGTATTTCGAGAGGGAGAGCAGACTCTCCCCACTCTCACATGACCACGCGTATACAGCCACTGACATGAAAGTAATAATCACTGCCTTCTTGAGGCGTGGGTGTTGTTTACGAAATTTAGAGGACGGAAAGTGAATGCCTGGCACTTTAACCGGATTGGTGGATATGGGGTATCCACCTAAAGGAGTTGGAATACCCTCATTCCGCACTAATGGTGAATATGGGCTCCAGAATCCTGAAGTAGCGAATGGAGTATGAACCAATTGTTGGTCACCGACCACTATGGGACTACATCACCTTACATTGTTCTACTACCCTGTGGATCAGACCTTTAGGTTGAAGTCTCTGGGTGTGGCCACCTAAGAAAACCACCTGCTTCACTTTGGGCACCCGGGTAGTACCACGTCCTACACACAAATCAAGTGACTTTGTGTAGCGCATGTGTATTCAGTGCCGCTTCATATCAATATTTATGTGTTCAAATAAATAAATAAACTTCATGTTTTATCTTCATCGATTAGTTTCTCCTTTGAATCAGGCACGCGTTTTGTCATTATTTTATATCGCGTTATTCTTTTCTCGTTTCCATACGAACGTATCACTATAACTTATATATTCTCATGTTATTACATTGCTGATTCCCAAGTTTATTTCTGTTTAAATCATATTTAGAATTTGTGAAAATTTATTCAACACCATCATTCATACCAGTTTAAAACTGGCATGGTGTCATTAATAAATTAGAAGAGATCAAAGACTTCCTTTTTTCAATTTTCCTGACTCATCACCTTCGCTTCTTTTTTCTTCTAGTAAGAAATTATGAAAAAGAAAAGATCAGTTGCTACTGAATTAGTTCAACGTGCTTCATCAGTCCTACCAGCATTTACTGATATATTTGATGAAGAAACATTTTATATATTTTTTACTTGTCTTGTTATTTTATCTTTTATAATAGCATTTAGTATAGCATGGTATTTTGATGTCACTATTAAAGATGCTGATGATTTAAAATCATCAAATAAAAAATCAAAACGACACTATTCAACCAATCGCTTAAAATAACTACTTATTTGTTTGTTTTCTCCCGGATATTTTTTGTTCATTTTATCATATTACTTAATTTTCTTACGCTTGTTACTCCCAATGGAGTATATAGGCCGCCGTTCAGCATATTACTTAACCCCTATAATAGTTAAAGTTAATGATGTTGTATTTTATTCTAGTCAATTGAAAGTCTTTTGTTGAATTATTTTCCTCCCATATTCGTGCAATATGTATATTTGAGTCCACTTACCTTATTCTTACTGTCATTATCTAATAATGGACTTTTATTTACTTCAAGTATATTGTGATATAATTAGTATTGGATCATCTTATTCAAGGGTTAACATCACTAAATGTTTCTTATTTAACTGTTAATTTATATAAATAAGAAACTAGTACTATTGTATTTTAATATAAAAAGAAATACATGTATTCTCATACTAGTCATCTAGTTCTTACTTGTTATGTTTCCTCGTATTACGACTCAATTATTCTTATTGATTAGTAGTCCCCAAATGCCCTGGTACGGTCAAGAGTGAGGAGAGTACGCTCTCACATGGTCACGCGTTTATAGCCACTGGCAGGGAAGTGATACCCACTGCCTTTTCGAGGCGTTGGTGTTTACAAAATGTAGAGGACGGAAAGTGAATGCCTGGCACTTTAACCGGGTTGGTGGACACGAAGAATCCATCTAGAAGTGTTGGGAAACCTTGATTCCAAATCAATGGTGCAAATGAGCTCCAGTATCTTGAGGGAACAAATGGCATGTGAACCAATCGTTGGTCACCAGCTACCATGGGAGTGCATCTCCTCACGATGCTCCACTGCTTTGTGGATCAAACATTTAAGTCTAAGTCTCCGAGTGTAGCCACCTAAGAAAACCACCTGCTTCAGTTTGGGCACCTGGGTAGTATCACAGCTCTCATACAAATCAAACGAGATTTATGTGGTGCATATATATCTGGTGCCCCCTTGTATCAATATTTGTGTTAAAATAAATAAATAAATGTTAGATCCCCAGAACTCACTTGGTAAATACCTTATTTTTTAAAATTTGAATTTCTTTGTTTTCGCGCCAAAAGCGTTCTTTTCACCTTCATGTCGTATTTTCTACTTGGTAAAACCTTAAACGCTGTTGGTCCGTTTTGTCTTTTAGTATGCTATTTTGTAATGCTTCCTAAGGACAGTTTGATGTTGTATATATACGTTTGATTTGTGCCCGTTGGGATCGCTTGTGCTTCTAGCTGCTTGCCGAGTATATTTATTTCTTGTTCAGACTTCAACTTCTCTCTCTAGTTAGCGGGGCTGAGATGCATCAGAATAGCTAGCTTATTGGTCTTTGGTCACAAGTCTTTGTTCTGTTCGCAGACAAGGTGAACTCGTAATCGATTCAAATATAATAGTTTATATTTGAACCATATTGATTTTCGTGGTTATGCATTTCATATGACAGTATTGTTTCATCCTCTCGTCTTCATTTGAGATGTAAATAGTTGATGCCTATTACTGAAGAGTCATGAAATAGGACAAAATAAATATCCAACTCTTTCTTAGAACTCACATCTCTATTTCCTTACCTGTGGATAATTGAAGTTCTTATGGCTACTATGAAGTTACAGGTTTCATTTACAAATACTGACTTCAGAACTTAGGAGGTTGAAATACATAATAGTTTGGACCCCTACACTTTCAGGCGGAAATTTTTCGTTTGCTGATAATTGATTTGAATCCTTAACTTACTGGTTTAAATCTAGCAATCTAATCCCTGAGTTTATTTTCATCGTCAAGTAGATGAGAAATTGAGTTTATGATAACTGAGTAAATAAGCAAGTGTTTTTAATAAGCAATTAGTAATATTGAATGGTTTCATCAAACGAAATTTCAATATACTTCACATCTATCCAACGACAGTTAACTAAAAAAACACTGTGAGGAACAAGTTAGATTCATGATCAACTTGTCAACTGATTTGGTTTGCTCCTGCGAATTTGACATGATTAGAAAACAGTGAGAATTCAATTAAGGTATATGCGGAAAAACAGCGTTATATGGTATATATAATACAAAAAATATCAATTAGAAGCTTTACATCACAATTACAACTACCTAGAAAATAATTTCGAAAAACTAAGTTTCACTTGGTATTGTTTGTTTGAATCTTCCCATTGATGCTTAGGACTGCAACTGGTCAGTCTCTAATTCCCATATGTGCGTATTGCCTTAATTCACAAGCAATATAAGCAAAGATGGATAGTGGCTAGCAGTGGAATCCAGTTTGACGTGCGTTTCGTCCTATTTGGGACTCGTCAGCTGGATGTACCTGCATCTCAGAGTTGATGCTCATTCTGGGACTCGAACCCAGTACCCTCGCTTCAAACGCCATCGCGTTACCCACTCGGCCCATCGCACAAGCAAGTGGCTATCAGGACTCAGTGGCCGATAACGCAATGGTGTTTGAAGCGAGGGTACTGGATTCGTGTCCCAGATTGAACATCAACTCAGATGCAGGTACATCCAGCTGACGAGTCCCAAATAGGACGAAACGCGCGTCCTGGATTCCACTGCTAGCCACTATCCATTTTTGCTTATAACTAAGTTAGTTGTTTGTTAGAACAGAAATTTAAGAGCGAAAAAATAGTCCAGAAAATCTCTACTGATCTCCGATGCATTTTGGTGATAGCCTTCAAGATAACTATCATGACTGATATGGAAAACAACGTCCACATAAACAGCGCTAAACGAATAACTCAATCAATACACTGTGAAACGATAGTAACATCACCAAACAGGTATGAAAAAAAAGAATAAGGCATGCCATACGTTATGGCCTACGAATATGGAAGAACTGACAAGTCCCTCTTGCAAAACAATCAAAATGAGAGGTCTAAAGTTTCCAGTTAGATAACCTCATTGAACGGTTAAAATCCTCCATTTGGGAATGTCTTAAGATAATACAGAGATGTCATTTGAAGTAAGCTTTTTTCATCATGGCTAATAAACAAAAAGCTGGGAGATAACCGTAGATTTAATGATTTAAAAACATAATGTTTACCTAGAAGTGCTATCACGTTTTATTCTTCTTAACAATTGAAATACACGAGAAATTCACTACCGGTTGGATGAAATTTCTTAAGAATACGAAAATATGTACTGGATTCATCAAAGAACATTTGTGATTAAGTCTACTAGAAGTCAAGTCTTCAGATTAACATACTTAACGTTTGATCACTACACTATGAAATGGACCACAGACTTGGTGTTTGAAATTCCTAACTATAAACTGAAATATATATAGAAATTACAGAAGTGAAGGCAGTCAGGGTGTACAACTATCAGTCATTCATTTTTGGTTTTGAGCTTTAAGCTACTTATAATTTATAAGTAGATGAATGTTGGTACGATCAAAAATTGGCTTAACTTGAAATTCTAACTTCAAAATCTATATCTGATGTTTTTTGTGATAAAAATTACCATCAACTTGTACTGTCGTTTATCTAGAGACTCTTACTGTTCTTTGAATCATATTGAATGTCATTTTTAAGACATTGATAGTGACAAATATTTACACCGCCATAATGTTTTGAAACTAAGATTAAGAAGTAATCTAACACTGCATACTTTCGTGTGCATTGGTCCTAATTGATTGTCATTAGTTGGATTAGTGACGTTTTGGTTCAATTATATGAAGACCTTGGATGGCCTATTGAATGAATTATATATAGCAGGATATTTTGCATTCTACAATACATTACTTACGCCTGTTACCTCTTGTGGAGGAGCATAGGCCGCCCACCAGCATTCTCCATTCAACCCTGTCCTGGGCAATCCTTTCTAGTTCTTTCCAGTTGTTGTTCATCCTTTTCATTTCTGCTTCTATTTCCCGGAGTAATGTGTTTCTTGGCCTTCCTCTTTTCCGCTTCCCTTTCGGATTCCAAGTTAGCATATATTTGTATATTACAAAAGACCTATTTTTTTCTTTTTTCGTGTCAAATCAGTCGAATACTTTTAGTATTGTTTGGAGTCGTCTGAAGTAGAAATCAGCATTTCAAGATGTTGATCAACGGGGTGAAATTTCGGAGAGAGTGTATTATAGGGATAAACTTGAGGGATTCTTAAAATGAACACAATGAATCTTACCTTGTGGTTAGTGGATCGAAAATGTTTATGAAAATAGTAAATATACTACAAAAGGGATACAGATTTTACGTTATTAGTGAATCCATTAAAGTCATCAACAGGTTTTTCTATTTTTGAACTATATAAACAATAGGATAAATTCTTCCATATGATATTGTCTTTTTAAAACCTTATACGACCACAACTATTTATTCCTTTTTTGTATTGGTTGCCTGAATCTTCTCATTGATGTTTAGGACTACAATTGATCAGACCCTTATTGGCATATGTGCATCCTGTGCGGGTTGCCCCAAGATTACCTTTAGTCTTAAGCATTATAAACTAAGATGATTGTGGCTAGTAGTAGAATCGAAGATATGAGTTAATGTTCATTCTGAGATGCAGGTACATCTAGCCGAAGAGTCCCAAATAGGACGAAACGCACATCTTGGATTCCACCAGTTTACAAATATTTGTTTCGTTGTTGTTGTTCCTTAGTCAAGGGTTCAGATTAGAATTAAGGGTGTTGGGTTAAGGTCGAGGTTGGTTCATTTTATCATATGTAATCTAAATTTAAAGAATAGGGCAACTGATAGGTCGAAAGCTATGACTCTTACTCTGTGATAACGAACAATAATTTTTCACATTCATTCCAAGTATTCTAAAAAGTATTCTTATTACTTGTTTTCTATATAATAAGGTGAAATTTATTCACTTTTGAATTTCGTCCATTAACCCAAAAGATTTTTTCCTGATCGTGATAGGTTTGAAGATTTTACGAAAATACAGGGCTTGACAACTCTATCGCCTAAAGCCGCTTCTAATACAAGGATCTCAAAGTCAATCAAACCTGAAGTCAAGAATGAAGCGATGTGAAGAAATATTTGGATGACAGTCAATGTTTTTAGCTGTATGTAGTCTAAGCTGACTAGTTTTCTAAGATAAACGCAGTAAGATGTATCCAATCATGACCTAATACAAATACTTGACGGATCAGTTGTGGCTATAAGTGCATTTAGCAAAATTAAGGTTATCTACACTGTCGAAGACTTACTAAACTATTTATTTTTGCGGATTTTATTGACTTCTACAGGCTCATACCTATGCCAAACTTCAACCAAAATGTCTTAACTTTGCATTATAATTCATTCCACCACACAGCTGGACACATCTTTACTGAATATTCCATTGTGTTGTTCATCTAATGAACATGAATCATGTAACTCATTTTCATGGTATGATTGCACTGATCAAAAATGTACATAGAGAGTGATATTTTTCCTAGATATAAGTTCTTTACATTCAAATCCCACATTTTGTCTTTTG